CTGAACCCTCAGTTCCGGGGCTGGTACTGCCGCTGGCAGTTACCTGTGCAGCCTTAGAACCAAACTCCAGCTTGGTGAAAGCTGTTGAGCACTTTCACCTCCAAATAATTTTTTTTTTTTTTTTTTAAGCAGGGTCTCAGCAATATTTCTACTTTACACAATAAATTACACTTAAAGTAAATGTGAATTTTGTTCTCAATATTTTTAACCCTTTCTGGGGCTAGCTGGGTATGGAGTTCATCAGTAGGTGGATGTACAGTACTTACTGGCCAGCCTGCCAGGCTAACATAGTTAATGTAGTCCTGGAAACACTTTCTCCCATTTATCTTTTTCCTTTTAATGTCATTAGCTCTATGCTAATGCTTGTCCGTGCAAGCTCCTCACGGCTGATCCAAGTATTGCTCCGTAAGCAGCCAACAGTTGCCTAGAAGACAATAAAACCTCTTCCATGGACCCCAGCAATTTCCCTGTACTGACCTCCTACATGATACATAGTGTGCGCAGATCCATGGCGCTGCTGTGTGCGCTTCAGGGGGCGACAGCAAAACTGTTGGCTGCAAAAAAACCCCAAACCAACCAAACTTTTTGTTGGTTTTGGTCTTGTACACAATTCTATATGGGTAACTGTTGACATTAATTTCCCCCCTTTAAAAATGCATAGTGAGCATTCCTTCCCCTCCCCCACTCCCTCATCATGTATTGCCTGTAGGTAACATTTGTGTACTTGGGCGTAGGAAGGGGGGGTGCTGCTTCTGTAGGTTTTAAAATGCAAGAGGGTTTGCCACTCCTACCCCAGACGGGCGAGAACTGTAAAATCTTGGTGAAGGGTTTGGATTTAATGTGTATGAGGAGTCTGTCACCGTGCGTTTCCTTACCTTGTTGTTCTCACAGCTTTTTGCCCAGTGGAAGCTCTCGTGGTGTGGACTTTGTTGTTGTTGGTTTTTTTTTTTCCTTTCTACAGCATATTAAACTGCATTTGGTATTTGTAAAACTTAAAAAAACTGCTCTCTTGTCAAAAAATACTTTCTTTAGCTGAAAACATCCTACAAAAAGGATGGGAACTATTAGCTAAACTTTCTAATGTAAACCTGAAGATGATTTTGTATCTAATTGTTTGAATACGATACCGTAGAGCAGGCCTAGGAGACGGGACTCGTTAGCATTCTGACTTCCCATGGATAAAGTCAGATGATAAAAGCTAATACACGGGACATTTTTAAATTGCGACTCGTTTTCTAAAACCCCCATCGTCTTTTTCTCAGCTACTCTTTTCACAATAAATACAGCCAAACATAAAAACGTTAATGTACAAATTGTGAAATTCTGTTAATTCCCAACAAAATATTTTTGTATATAATAAAGATTTAATATTGAAAAAATGTAATTAGCTTTTTTTTCTGATTTATGTAATCATACTCTGAATTTTAGCCAAATAAGGAAACTATCAAGAAGCAATCGTCTTGCAAACATCTGCCTTTTATCTAGACTTCAGCCTTTACTGCTGAAAACTGTCTCCATGTTAACACAGTATTTCCTGCTCGTGCGGATGGATGTGTTACCGTGCTGGTACCCAGTACCCCGGCCACCTCATCGCGTCTGCACCGACCAGGCTTTGCACGCTGTGTGCTGCTTTGTTGTTCCCAGGCCCACGGGCGCTGCTGGTGTGGTGTGTGCCGGCCTCCTCCAGGGCTCAGAGTTCAGAAAAGCAGCGTCTCACTGAATCCCCATACACTGTCTAGAGCTCTTGGGGCCTCTTCAGTCATCCTATAAATGTCATTGCTGAATCCAGGCTCCTCGTTTTCTGAGCACTGCAGCATGAAGGGAGTCAAGCGCTCTTGGGCCCACAGTGTGCAAAAGCCCAGGGGACTCGGGACTGCAGCTTGCAGGAGGTGAGTGCTGGCTGCTCTTTGGAGGTGATGACCTCATCTTCCCTGGTCCTGATCAGATTCTGAATTGCAAAGGTGGGGTTTCTTCCCCCCTCCTCCTGGGGAATATGGACATATAGCAAAAGGAAACAACGGTGTCAAATCAAACCTTTTATGAGACAAGCTCCAGCCTTGTCTGAAGGACCCCACAGCCCTTTTACCACCTCAGCTTTCTAGGGAAGACCCCAGCCAACCTTGAAAAAGCATTTTATGTACGAGGCCAGCCTGTCACAAGAAACTCCTTTTTTATCTCAGATGTAGTGGATGCACATCCAGCTCTTCTGAAGTGGATTCTGAATTAATTTGTCTCGGTGTAGCTCAGGCTGGGTTCCTGACAAGGCTATCCTCAATTAGCTTAGGGAAGGGCAGGACAAGAGTTAATTTGAGAGAGAGACATATTGCTTCTGCTCTTCCCCTGGATCTTCATATCCCCAGTCTGAGCTATTTTTAATATTGATGTGCGTAAGGATCCTGCTTTCAAGACCATGGAAGAAGGAACTGTATGGAAAACGATGAACATGTAAACTGCCTTAGTGTTTCTTTTTTCCCCGGCTGTGCTGCTCACTCAGTTCTAAAATGGCCATCCAAGGCTACCAGCTGGTCTAGAGGTGCTTCTGTGGTCAAAGAAGTGCTGCCAAATGGAGGAAAGCCCCTCCACAAGGAGCACATAAGAGGACAAAGCCAAGACTGAAGTGCAGCCACGGGCTGCTGCAGACACACTGATCAATCCTAGAAGTCTGGCAGCAGATGAGGCGAGGAGCCAAGAGACTCAAGTGATCTCTGTGACTCGCAGAAAGGGCAGGAACAGGAAGTCTGCACAGGCCAGGGGGTATCACAGAAACGCAGCCTGCAATGGTGGGGCCACGCAACATCTCCCCCTGTTCCCAAGGGTTACAAGCAGCAGGGCGCTCGCAGAGTTCAGGGCCTTCCTCCTCCGAGGCTGCAGTTACCGGCAGTCCAGTTGTGAAGCTGCTAGGGCTGCCCAGTACCATGAACGCTGCCAGCCCTGCAGATGCCCTCACCTTGGCTTTGTCAGCATCCTTTATACCCCTCAGCCTGAACCTGTTCCATGGATTTAGCTGAAGCAAAAGACTGATCTACATCTGAAAGCAAAACAGCAAGAGACAAACAAAACATTTCTTTTTTTAATGTGCCCAGATACACACTTGCCATCTGTGTGCACCTTCTTTCAAGGCCAAGGGTATGACTGGAATGCCTCCCCGCCCCCCAAAAAAAACCCAACAAGCCCAAACAATGGAAATTACACACTTCAAATTAGGTTATTCTATGGTTTTGACACAACATTTAATATAAAGTTTTGATAATTTAGTTAGTTACAGAGGCAACTTTTGAGTAGTGATTGGCAAAAGACTTTCCCTTTCACAAACACACTCCCAGAAACAGAGTAACCTGCTTCCATCCTCCTCAAGGACATTTCCTGATACACCAGTGCAAGGTTCAGGCAACACCATCATCTTCATTTAACAGATGAGATGCAGAAACACCAACAGCTCAGTGTGCAAGGAAGACTATCCTGCGCTCTCAGGGTATGGAAAGGTACCATGGTGCTTTTCTGCAAAGTCCACTTCCTCAGGGACAGCTTAACTGACATGAGTTTTTAAAGACCTCTAGACAATCTGCTAAAGACCATGTGGGAACAGAGCAGAAAACAGAACCCAGGACTCCTACCCACTAGCTATGCTGCAGGGCCTGGTTACCGATCATCTCCCCCCCCCACACACAGGTGCCTGCTCGTTTGCCTGTCAGCCATCTCACAATCTTATCTGAAAGCACCGACATTCCACTTACCTGGAACATCATCATCCCAAACCCCTATTTACAGAGATCGCTGCTGCATTTTTGTCCCATTCACATGATTACAAAAGTTTACAATAAAAGAAAGGCAAAGCAGTTCAAAGCACAAAGTGCTTTACTAACACTTTGCCACTGGTCAAAGAAACAAACAAAACCTCTGCACTTAAAATGTCATACGGGTAAAATCATAAGTTTTGTAGAGTGCAGCAGGGACATTTCAAGTGCACAGACCAAAAGGCATCACCAGACCACCAAAGGAAAAATTCAGAATGCAATTTAAACAGCTGAAACTTGCTAAGGTGAGCAAAAACTTATTAGAAAACAGATAAATGCTGTACAGAGGCATAAAGCCCTAAGTTGGTCTCAGTTTTTGAAAAAGAGAGGGGTTTTTTATTTCCTGCAGCGTGCAGTTCACATCTGTAAAGCCAAACTACACTTAATAAATGAAAACCTAATCGAGTGCCTCTGAGAGCCCTCCAATGCACTTGCTCCACAGTGAAGCCATTCTGCACATCAAGCCTTAGACAAGCAGAACATTTACTGCGTCGCAGAACCCTGGGTTTCCGCAGCCTGCTTGTTTGCTTGCTCACAAAAAGCAGTTTGTACTTTGCAGTTTTCTCCCACGCATATTAATGCAAGCAATCAGGCATCTACTGCTATGTTCAATTTCTGTTCCAGGCTTGTCTTTTTTTCGTCCACCCCTCCATCCCTTATTTATTTATTTATTTCCCACTGCAGACACACCTTAGTGAAACTGCAGAGCAGCAGCACACCTGATGAACCCACCCTGAGCTCCAGAACCCCGTGCTGGCCTCTGGTAAGTACTCAACTGAGCAGCTGCACTGCTAGCTCACACACACCAACTCGACACTGCAGAGCTACAGAAGAAAGAACAGGCTAGAACAATAACTGCACGCCCAGCAAAGCTCCTATACGTTCCCACCTAAAGCATAGAATCCACACAATGCAACATAAAGAACAAGTGGGAAGAATCTAGGTTCTTTTGTAGTTACAGCTTTTACAGAAGACTCTGTCATTTCCAAATTAACATTCGATGAAGCAAACAGCCTTCGCACAACATCAAATCTTCCTCTGTCAGTGAGAGCAGCCACCAAAGGACTGCTCAGCGCCACGGTGCCGTCGGCTGACGTGATGCTAGGCTGTATTTATGAGAGAGAGAGAGAGAGAGATTAAAAATGTTTTCCAAGCAGCGTTGTTCCTGCCATCATAGCTCAGTTCTTTCTTACAAAGCCACCGGAGAGCTTACAAGGCAGCTGCAAAAGGCGAGGTTCCCTTTGCTATTAGCTTTGACAAGTACAACGTACTCATCCAGAACCAAAGCTCCACGGCACCCTTTAAGGAGAAACATCGCTCCTACCACATCCTTTGCCCCAGTCCAACTTCTCTCACTGCAGATCACACTTAGCTCCCACCCTTACTCTGAGCAAACAGTAGCACTCCCCTTGCCCCTGTGTATTTAAAGGTTTTCACTATTATTTTTGACAGTGAGCTTAAAAATAATTAAAAAAAAAAAAAAAAAAGCCCTGCCCCATTCCTTCAGCAGTTTCAAGGAATGGCCTCAGAGTTTTGGAACTTCAGAATTTGTCAAGACCCAGGCACTGCTGCTATCAAAGTGAAATTTCTGTTTTCCAAGAGCAGGTGATTACTGTTACTGAGACTTTAAAAAGGGCTAGTGAGACTATTAGTAAACTAAAATCTGAGCTTAAGTTACAATTTTCTTTTGCTCACAGCCCATGAAATCTCCCAACTACAGAAGCATTTTAGAAGTTACATTTCCACCTGCATTAATTACCTGCAGCGTTTGCCACTGTCAGACTGACCTTGCCTAGACAATGCCTACAGCTGAAATTCACACTGGAGCTTGACGTCTTCTTTATTGGGCGAGAAACACAGTAAGGCAGAGAACGGAGGCAGTACAGCTGCTGGGGCCCACAGGCTACACACTCACATTCTGATTGCTCACTCACCAAACAACACAGCGCCGGAACAACCTGAAGATCACAGCAGGCACGCAGCAGGACAAGAGTGTAATCAGACAGCTCTGTGAAGGAAACAGTAAAAGGGAAAGATCGTTTCCAGTGAACACAGCACAAGGCTGGATGCTGGAAAGGTGACTTCCCTAACAGTGAGCTCTGTTCTGGGGTTCTCCTGCTGAGCAAAGACAGATGAGCTGCATTTTTGAGGCCCATCTGCAGATATAGCACTTTATGAAATAGATGCTGGAGACTAAAGTGATTCAATGCTGAGGACAGTTGTCACAACCGCTCTGCTGGATGTCTGGAAGAGGTGGACCCAGCCCTTTCCTGCCTGCTTCCCAGAACGCAGAGTAAGATGGGATAGGCAATCGGTACAAGCCCCATAATTATTATCTTTATCCTTAAAAAAAGGCAGCTTGCAGGAAAGGGGATTTCCTCCCCATCATTTTCATCTCTTCCCCAAGTATCTCCTCAGTGTTTCACTCCGAGTCTGCAGACTGGATGAATGATTTAGGCCTTGAATAAAACAACCTCCACTCTCAAAAATCCATGAGATGCTGCTTCAGCAAAAACACAATTTGAGAGGAATGACACAGCTGAGACTGCCCTGGGGCAGGGAGATGGACTAAATTATCCCTGTGGTGTCCTTCAACTCTGTAACTCAAGGCTGTAATTCCCAATAGAAGCAACAGGCACAAACCAGCTTTTGATTCTTGATCCAGCTACATTTACGCCTGGACGTGAGCAGCAGACGTTACGTCCAAAGCCAGGTGATAATGCAACACACTCAATTAACTGCGCCCTGCCGTTAATAGCATCTGACAAGTGTTACCACATCAGCAGGTTTCCGTTTTCTGTTTCTTTTCTGTCTCCACAAATGAGTTAAGCTTTTCTAGCTGGGTGCTGTGCACATGGATGCACACTGACATTTTGCTGCACAGTGCCACATCCAACTAATACAGCACTGGACTTCCCTTTGTTATCTTAACGTCAGGGAATTCTTATATATGTGAGAGAGAGGAGAAAAAGCCAAGAAGGAGTCTGTCTCGGATGTTGCAGGTAGCTTTTAATTAACACTGTGGTGCCAACCTGATTGCAAACATGGCATTTGTTTGACATTTATGTTTAACCTCCTTTTCAGCAGCTGCAAAACAACCCTCTAATTGCAGTGTCTCTATGTTAAATTCATTTTTGCCAAATATAGTTTGCACCTCAACAATAAATGCTATTACACTGAAGACAACACCTAATTTGCAATTCTCAGCATTTAGGCGGGAAGAACTCCGGTAAGCAGTAAGAACAGAAACCAGCTTGCCAAACTGGAAATGCCCACACTCAGCAGAAAGCAGAGCTAAGCAATCTTAGGGGAACGTGCATTTTACAAGCAAGTGTAAATCTTGTCAGTGATTGAAGGCTGAATTTAATTCACAGCCAGGAATGCTAAGTATGCTCTACGAAACCCATAAAAAGGAACAGAACAAATTAGGTTCACTCAGCTCACCAACTGCTCAGAAAGAGCCATAAATGTTTTAACACAGAGGGTCTTCTAAAAGGAAAGTAAAAATCAAAAAGGGCTCTTCTCCTCATTCACAACATACCAGAGATAGCACTGATGAGGAGGTGGGCAGCTGAGAAGAGTTCTTCATCCTGAGGCTGATATTTCTGCAACAACAGCTCACTCTGTAAACTGTACCCCAACAGCTGCAAGAAGTCAGTGAGGTGTGCTTGTTGTGCAGGTTTTAACTCCTTCAGATCTGGCTTGTCTCCTGTGCAGATATCATCTAACTGGAAACAAAAGAGTAAGTAAAACTTGTTGAAAAGAGGCAAATTCAAGCAAAAGAGAATGCTAGCTCTATCCTGAAATTACTTTTAGGAGGCAAGCAAGAGTTTCCTCATCTTACCACGTCCTCCAGAGCAGCTACCATTTCTTCATGGAGCAGGAGTTCACAAAGGGTTTTATATAAAGCTCTTCGCTTGTCTTCCGGCAGCTTCACAAAGGGCTGGAATTGAGTCTTCAACCGTGACAGATCTTTCCCAAGAAAGCAGTAAAAAGTAAAACTAAGTATTTTTATACAAATGCCAGTAAAAACAGTTAACATTTTTGCTATGTGTTTCATAAGGTCATTTATCACCAAATCCTGACATCCCGATTTCCATCGGCACAAGTTATAATGCAAGGCTGGAACACATCTGATATTTCCCTAGTGAGCCAACAAAGCACCAATGAAAATTCTAAGAAGAAGAACAGCTACCAAGGATCAACGTTCAGTGTTCAATACTTTTAATATTTTACAAGTCAATATTTTAATTAACCATATATTAAGTTTCTCACTCAAAAGTTCATCTCCAGAAAATGTTCTTTAACAAAGCAGAATAAAGAGTTCTGCTCATAACCTTAGTTCTTAATCTGTGAGTTAACAGGAATTACAGAGTCAATGGTATAAGTCCACATGCAGAATTAAAAGGTCTTATTGTGGTGCTAAATTGTTATTATCCTCATATTTCATCAGGTGCACCAAAGAATTATACCCCTTCACTCCTGATCTAAAAAGATTTATTACAAAAATCAGGGCAAAAATCTCTTAACTGAAACACTGAATCCATTACAATCCACACAACAGAAGCCCAAGAGAGTTCACTGCACTTCTTTCTCCACAATTCAATTATGACACTAAACCAAAATGTTTTATGACATCAAATTACCACTTTGCTAAAAGAAAGTAATTTTCCAAGTCAGTAATGCCAACTGGAAGGTTGGAATGTGTTTTTCCACATTCCAAAAATATGGGCATGCAAGCATTCTTAACCTTGTTTAAAAGAAATTTCCCTTCATGTCACTCTGGTCAAGAAATGCTCTCCCTTCAAAGATGCCTTTTATATCTAAAAATTGCTTAATTGCTGGGGGCTAGGGGGAGGGGGGGACGAGGGGTGCGGGGAATGCAGCCACAGGCAGATATTTTTTGTACCTGATGCAATCATATAACTGCCTATACAAATAACAGAAGAGGAAATCTACTTTAAATTGCATTAGTAGAAACAATTTTAATTTTTTTTTTCCAAGTTAATTAAAAGAAACCTCCAAGCCTTTTAAGCTAGAAAGGCACAAAGGTGTGTCAAGGTAAAACAAAAACCAGTGGCATACCATTCTTTCACAAATAAGTGGTTTTTATATACACATGGAGACACAGTTATTCCTTTCAAATAGTCTACACTGGAGAATGGCAGAATTTTTTCAGGACAACAAATACCTACTTTGGTGACAGTCTATTGAACAGCCGTGAACAAGAAAAGTGACGTTCATCATTAGAACAAGCTGTGAGAACTCTGCCGAGAACTGATGAAAAGTAAAGTGTGTTCTGAGGCCTTGATTTGTTTTTGCCTTTTTCATTCCTCTGGTGACAATCCTGCCCCTTCCTTCCTCATCTTTACAATAAATAAGTTGTGCCTGGCTCATTGTACCAATTTGCAAACTTCCAGTTAAGTCATATTTTAATTTTGTCAGCTTTAGTTGACACTGAAGATTTCTATAAAGCTTCTCAGAAAATAATGAGGCTAACTGAAGGTGAGGGGGAAGTCTTTGTAATTTTTGAGACTTAAAATAACCTTTAACTGAGAAGCTTTAGTGAGAGTATTTTCCAAATAATGGAAAAATATTTTCAGTGACCCTTTCAGAATGAAAGCAGAAATCATTACTAATCTTATGGAGCTTATCTGGAATGTAACAGAACTGGCATAAAAACCTAATTTTGTAAGATCATATTTCTGACAAAGGGATTCAGGATGTTCCTGAGGAACAGACCACTGCATATAACTACTGCAGAAGTAAATTTTTCTTTTCTTTCAGTGAAGAGTCCCCGATAAGAGCTATTAAAATGAACTAACATAATTTCTTATGTACTATTGTACCAGATTATTTCCTCCTATCATGTTGCTTCAGTCACTGTAATGTAATAATGTAACACATTTCTGGTAATACCTTGTTTCAATACACTTAAAGAAGCATCACTGGGAATGAGGTTTTTGGCCCCAGAGTACATCTCATTATCAACAGCATCTGGCTGATAGAGAAACGAAGCATCTCTGAATAGTGCTGAGTGGGGATAAGTGGAGCCTTCTGTGCTTTCTTTTTCAAAACCTCCTTGCTGTTCATCTAGCAGACAGAATTCTGTAATTAGAAATTCAATTTAAAAAAAAATAATTAAATACACAAGCAATTACTGAATGAGATGCTAGCTTATATTATCTAGTGTTCTCGCATGTCATTTCTCCATGTCTCATCTCTTCTAGATGGGAAGAATGCCAATGGTTGCTACGTATTACTGTGAATTACTGAGCATTACAGCAGCCCTGATGTTTGGCACAGTGTGCACAGACAAAGGTCCTGTGGTGCAGCTACCAACTACAAAATGTGACACCAGCTCCTGTGAATTAAAGCAGTGCAGACAGCAAATAACATGAAAACTTCTCACCCACCCCATAAAGCTAAATGCTGCGTACAGGAGATGCGGGTATGAATTCTTCACATTTTCTACCACTTAAGAGCTGTGCTGTAACGTGGGCTACAGGATCCACTCATGATGGAGACACATGAAAGCACTTTCTGAGACTCATAAGAACCAAGAGAGTCCCTCAGAGAGCTTCTTCTGGTCATGGCACTGACAGACTCCTCTTTCTGAGCCAAGCCACAGGTCCATCCTCAAGTTTTCCAGAGGAGTAGAAAACAGGAAGTTTTTAAAAATCTCTAAAGGACTTTACACAGCCCTGTCTACTAACAGATAATCACTCTGCAACATATGCTGTCTCTCTGCAGTAACTTTGTGGAAAATCATAGAATGGTTCGGGTTGGAAGGGACATTAAAGATAATCTAGTTACAACACCCACGACATCAGAAGGGAACCC